GATTTTGCATGTGACCTGAAATTTTCAGTAGAGAGTCAGGCTTGTAAAGGTCACCGTCGGCAGCAGAGACTTCTGCCATTTGTACTGCCAAAGTAATTTCACTATGGTACAGTTCTTCCCAAGTGAGCAAGCTGCTGGGGCGGGGGGTGACGGTTCTTGGCTGAAACATTATACCTTCCTATCCAAAGTAGCCCGCTTCATGCATCTAAAAAACACAGGAAGCCAAATGCCTCTGTTTGAGCCACTAATCTTTTACAGGTATAAACCTTCAGTACTAAGCTTGGTCCTGCTGGTGTTTGGTCCCGTGGTCTGGCCTTGCACACAGCTGCAGTAGGCAGCCTCTGCACTGGCAGCATGCAACAGTCCTTCTTAGACCTGATCCAAAGCCCAGGAAAGGTAATGGGGATGTTTCCAGTCAACCTCAGTGGGCTACGGGTCCAGTACAAAGTTACATTTTGTGTGTTGTTGGTAAATTAAAGGGAGATGGTGCTGCTGCTGCTTCTTGGAAAGTGAGAGACAATACAGTTCTTAGCTGTTACGAAGCGAGGATACGGACTGTCTGCACAGCTTTGGGGTGTTTAACCTTTATGAGAGCTGCGTGCTGAGCAGATGCTAGTTGGGACCCTAATTGACAGACTATACTTGTGAGACTGCATTTAATCATGGTTGCTGATTGGAGTAATTTAATCAAAGAACTGATTGGGGTAATTTGGAATAGGCCCCATTGGTGAATGTCAGTAGTTAAGATGGATTGCCCCATGGAGACAATAGCCAGTAAAAGTTAGGGTAGAGGGTAGGCAGTAAATAATTCCCTTATTGTCCTGCACGGGACACTCTAGCCTTGTTCATTGACAGTTCCCTCTCAACTTCACAGAATGGTGAGAACCCCACAGTCTCAAAATACTCATAGACAGGGTAAGCAGTGAAGTGAGGAAGCTTGCTGATAATGCTACGTTATTCAGATCATTGAGGAAAGGGCAGACTGAAGAATTCTGGAAGGGCCTTGTGAGGCTGAGGTTCTGGATGATAAAATCATAAATAACATACAGTGTAGGTACACACACAGTAAGTGCCTAGGGACAAAAGCGATCTAAACTTCACCTGTGAAATTACTGACATTGAGCTGCCCTATTCAGGAGCAAGATGCTGATATGGTATATAACTTGATGAAAGCTTTGTTTCAGTGCTCAGTAGTGGTCAGATACGTAAGTCATGCATTAGGAGTGATGAGGAAAGGCATAGATGATAGAACAGCAAACATTGCCATACCATGGCACAAGTCCATGTTTTCCCCTCACCTGTGCAGTTCTGGTCCTCTCATCTCAAAGAGGATATAATAAACTTGGAAAAGGATCAAGGAGGAGCAACAAGAATAAAAAAAGGTGAGGAATGACTTTGACTTGAAGAATGACTGCAGAGACTAGAAGCCTGTGGACTGGAAAAGAGATAACTTGCCAGGAAATATAATGCGGATCTCTAGGCTCAGGACTGGCATGGAGAGGCGTGGATAGGGGTCAGCCATTCAGTGTCTCTCCCCAAAAAACCGACATTACACAAAGCTAGTAGTAGTCAGGTTCAGAGCAATAGGAGGTGGTTCTTCATAGGGTGTGTAGCAGACTTGGGAAAATTGTTGCTAAAAGATGTGGGTGCCAGAACTCTCTCTGGGCTCAATACAAAGCTGAAGGAGGAGAAATCCATTGAAGAACATAAATACAGAGAAACCCCATCCAGCTCTGAAATCCCCTGACCTGAAAATAGTTGCAGACAGGGAAAGTACAGAGAAAGAAGCATCATATATGCTTGTTGTGTTCTTTCTCTTCCCTCAGTATCCATTTGTGGCCACTGTCAAAGTCCAGGTACTGGGTTCAGGGACCTTTGATCTGACACAGGACAGATGCTCTTGTGAAACTGGTATTTCTGTAGGGTGCCCCAGAGGAGAGGTCTGCAGTAGCCCCCCTGAGCTCCCCAGCAGCAGATCCCCATGCAGGGCTGTATCTATGTGCATGCACCATTACCTAGCTTGCTCTATGCCATGTCCTCCTCTGCCTTGTTTATGCAGTGTGCACTTTCTTCCAGATGTTTGCATGAACTGTATGTTAGCTTAGAAGTCTTTTTTTATCTTGTAATAAAAAACTGTTGGTAGGTGTGGTGTTTGAAAATGAGGGGAGATATGTAGACCCATTGGACTTCGTTGTCATGAAAAAGGAGGAAAAAAAAAATCCTTGCTTTTATCATTTTTGAAAGCTTTGGGTGCCATCTCCTGGCATCAGTAGGACCTTACACCCTGGAGCAAAGTTGCTAGTTGCTGGTTTAAAAGTGCTTGAAGAATTGAATTTACCCAGGTGTCTTTGCACCTCCTAGTTCTTTCGGCTCTGTTGGTGATAACATAACCAAGGTCTATAGGATGTGCCCTGCCAGACAGAGAAGTGCCCACTTACAGTTCCCCTTTAAAGATGCTGTTCAGGCTGAATTCTCTAATGGTTTTCACTGTGTCTGGTCACATAATGAAGAAATGGTGGAGGGAAGTAAGGCTTGTCAGGCGTTGTGTCCTGGCCACGTACTGCAGTAGCGGAGCCCACTCTGAGCAGCACTCGGGCTGTCTGAGGGTGCTGGGGACAGGGACAGGCAGACGCTGGGGAGCTGGAGAGGGCTGTTTGTCCAGGGGCCCTGGTTACCACCTCTGTTTGATACGTGGCGCAAGTAGCAGCAAGGTACAGCCCTGTATGTTGGACGGTGTGAAGGGGTGGTGTGTGAGTGTACCGGGTGGGTGAGGCAAGGTCCATGGGACAGGCACAGTGCCTGCTCTGCAGTTAAGGCACCTGGTGACAGTGAGCTGGCATCTCTGGGCTTGCAATGTGAGATGTCCCTAGCTCTCACCTTGGGAGTGCCCAAGAGCAAGGTAATAGAATAAGGTAGCCATGGGCCCTTCCAGAGGGCTGAAGCGGACTTTGCATATTCATCATCCAGGGGAGATGGCCAGATAAGTGTTTGCAGAAAAATGGCGAGCGGTATGACCTGTGTGAGCAGCTGAGTTCAAACACGCAGGGAGCTGTAACACGGTTACCCACAGCATTGCCTTGGGACGCATCTGTCACTGCAAGATCCCTCAAGAGTAATATCCATTTGGTTTTTTCTTCCTCACAGTTACCTTCCTAGCATGTTCACTCTCGCTCTTTAACTTGATGATACAGGGCTTTGGCAGCAATGCTGACTTGCATGGTCCCATTATATCATCCATCCCTTGCTACTTGTTCTCTCCCCAAGCCACAGTGCCCCTTATCCCCACACTGTATGTGAGGCCATGCTGTGTACTGCTGTCTTTAAAAAAAGTAAACCAAAACTACAGCATGATGAAATGGGTTATATTTAACCCAGACCAGTTCCTTTTTTTTTTCCAAAGCACAGTGTGGCCTCATAAACAGTTGGGTCAGCACAAGCAAGGGAAGCCTGGCGTCTGCAGTGCTGAGGGGGTGGCAGGGACACATGGCCGAGGGACACATGGAACCTCTGTATTCAGCTCTGGATCAGCCAGCTGTGGCCAGGGTTTGGCCTCTGTGGCGGGGGGGGGCCCGCCCCCCCCC